ATATTCCTTTCCTGCCAAAAGATTCTTCTCAATGTTAATAAAATTTTCCTAAATAATAAAGATGATATACCTCTATAATGTGCCTATTATATTATTTTCCTGATAAAAATGTAATACCTTCAAAACTTACATGTTTGATCCGTTCTGTCACACTTACTCTGTCTTTAATTTGATTTCCATTAAAAGTATTCTCAAATAGGCACACGAACACTGAAACCATTATTTGTATCAGTATGTTATTTCTGGCTGTCTTACAAAAATCCACTTTACTCTCTTCATGAGGATAGGAGATGATTGATAGGGATGTCTTTCTGACCAGGAAATGATCTTCTCATTGTGTGAAATCATGAAGTAGAACAGTTCCAGACTAATTTTAGCAGTTAAAGACATTTTAGCTGTCATGGCTGCTGAGAAAAACAGCAGGCAGAGACATTCAGCCTGGGTATGTTCTTCACATAAATCGATGTGCATTCATCTCTTATGGCCTTTTTTTGCTGCTTTTTGAGCCTCAGCTACAAAGCCTGTTGGCCTGCAGTCTTTACTCTGTCCCACTACCATCCCATTTCACCAAATATTTTTTGAGCCCCTATTTAAAAGCTCTATAAAAGAATCCCAGATGCTGTTTTAGTTCGACAAAGACATCACAGACTGTTGCCAAACAGCAACTTGGCACAAACCGTATGCTAACCAGCCGGCACTTTGATGGTCTGTGTCCACTTAAAGCCTTGGAAAAAAGCCCTGGCTGAGGGTCTTTCAAGTCGGCCCCCCATGCAAACCTCTGCGTTGACACCTCTGATCACCCAAGCTTTCTCATGATTAGAGGAATTAAAAGCAAGCAGTGGTAAAACATTACCCGCTCCCCCCTATTATAACTATGTTTGAGCTGTGCTTTGCTACCTCTAAAATGTGTGTCTCACATCAGCCTCCACACTGAGAATGTATTGCTACTGCTACAAATACTACTACTTCTTGACACATTGGTCCACTTGTCTCTGCCTGCCAACACTGGAGACACTTCACCCACCAGCTTTAATTCAGGCCCATTCACAGCTGTGACTGTAATGTGTAAAGAGAAGTCTTAGATTCCTGAATTAACAGCATGGGCCAGACAGCAGTTCACATCCCAGTGAAGGAGTTAGGAATAACCTTGCACCTGCTGTATTTGGTAATGTAATGATGTGTAAATCTGCTAATGTGATTTATCACATTTGACACCTGTGCTGTAAATTAGATAATGTGAGTGTATGTTTCACATTTCTTCACTGAAAACATCTGGAAACCTCTTAATGTGTCACAATTTAACACTGCAGCAATAATGACTGTGAGGAATGATTGTGTAATTATGATTACACAAAGAGCTTGTATCCTTAATATATGTAATCTTTATAACCCATTCTCCATTGCTGAAATAATTTAACATCCCCCCAAGAATTTTACCTCCTGACGTGTCTTGTAGAGCGGAGGTTTCATTATGAGTGGTTCATACTGGCAGAGTTCTCCTTCATCTCAGAGCAGAATGCATGGAGGACAGTGTTGAATTTCAATGTCCTTCTCTAAGCCTCTTTATATCTGATTAGGAGGTTACTTCACGATCTGTGGCCAAAGTTCTGTTGATTCATCTGGTCCCAGGAGGTGTAAGTGACACCTCCTCTAAGCTCTAAGTTGAAGTAGCAAAACAGATCCAGTATTCATGCTTTTTGAGCATGATCTGCGCTAAATATTTAGCAAATATATGAAGGAAACAGTAAATGGAAAATATAAAATATGTGCTACAGTTAGTCGGTAAGAGACAATATCCTCAGCAGAAAAAGGATTTCATTGTTCATTTGTTCAGCTGCTTACTACTGTTTCTTGACCACCTCCCTCATGTGTTTGTCATTAGCAGGAGGCCAGTGTCAGTCAGAGCATCCTTGATCATATCCCCACTACTGGTAGTAACACTTGGTGTCTATGTGGACAGGGAATCAACTCTTATTAATCATTTATCCATTTAAGTGCAGCAACCGGTATGAGTGCCCGCTTCTCTATATCTTATCTATATCATGATATCAGCAAGTGTAATTCTCACGAGGGAGCTTACTGTTATGCCTTTGCTTTAAGTAACTTACCTGTAGCTATTTTTTCCTAGTGTAATTATTTTGCTGCAGACTGGAGGCAATTAAGTAAGTCTATTTTTGGAAATTCAACTGGGGTATTCAGACTATTTACAACTTCATTTCAGCATGTTATCAGACTAACAGTTTGACTAAAAATGCAAATCATTTAATTTTTTATTTTCAGTTCTTTATTTATTTACAGTTTTATTTTCATATACCCCCTACGTCAGTTTGTGTATCCCCAGAACACAATTTGTAAATAGTGGCACTAACCCAGCAAACATCTCCCATTAAGCTAAACTAACAAGTTGCTTGCTGTAGCTTTATTGTACAGAGTCATATTGATCCTCTTACATAACACTCATCAACAATGCGAATAAGCATGTTTCCGAAAATGAAAAAGTTTTAGTTGCCCAATCTTAAACCTACATTCACTGATTTTTTGGCCACTTGGGGGCAGTACAGTAAGCTTTAACATCCCCTTTTTAAAACTGAATCGAACTTGCTAGCAAGCAGAGAAACATTAGCATTATTAGCTTCCTTTGGAGTTGTGCTTATGGCTATCTGGTGAAAATAAGTCCAATATTCACTCTCCTTTTAGTCCTCCTCGAACTCCTGAGGGAAATATCTGTCTCTTTAGCTGCTATATTTGCTAACTTTGTCTGTAATTTGCTGTTGGGTAGCTTACAGTGGGCTAATCAGAGCTTATTCACTGAAAACAGCTATACTGCTGGGAAAAAAAACACTGATGAGAGTGATTTAAAACATTAGAGCTAAAAGATGCTAAAAAAAAAAGATCTGTAGAACTGAGGGGAACTGCAGTCTGGAGATAATTGTCTGTGGTTTCAATACAAAGATATGTACTTCTGCAGCTTTAACCAAACTGGCCACCATCAGGAGTGGCAGGTCAGAACGCTGTATTTGTAGCTGACCTTGAAAAAGCAAAAATCAAAAAGGATCAATTAAGTATCACATCAGTTTGTTGTTGTTTTTTTTTTACCAGTTCTTTATCGACCATTTTCTCTACCTGCTTATTTCTTCTCAGGGGTCTGGAGCATATCCCAGCATGCTCCTGGCAGCAAGTACGAAACCAATCCAGCCTCAGCATGTGGATGCATATTAAGTCCATGGCTCATTTCCTGTTTAATACAGCAAAATGGTAGAGCTGGGAAATATGGATGACAAGTAATAATATTCCTAAGCCTTTATTGAAATAAATGGTTTTACAAAGAGATTTTTGTAAACAGAACAATAATTTAAACTAGCTGGCCTTTATCAAATCCCATAGATGTGAACAGGCCAGTACAAACACTCCTTTCACTGGAGATTATTAAGCACGGTGGGGGAAAAAAATCATGAAAATCATCAAAATAATCTGGTTCTGGCTAAATGTCTGTACAGCACTGGAATGCATTGTTATGGACATGGTGCTGTTTTATGTTTTAGTTGTTTTGTGAGACTATTAGTTTCTTAAGACTGATGCAAAAGAAAGAAAATCTACAGGACAAAAAGTTCTGTTCTGAACAGTGTTCAATCCTCAGACCTTCATCACATACAGCAGGAGTGACCTTTAATACAAACCCTGCCAGAGCATTCACAATGTGTGGGACTCTGTTCTTCTGTTTTCAAAGAATCCATGAAAGAAAAAAGAATGCTTGAGCAAAGCACAAAGCACAAGGTAATCTCACAGTCCAAAAAATTCACAGGAGTGACAGTGTGCAAGAAATAATAACAATCCTCTGTCTATATTAATCTTTCAAAATATCTTTCAAATCTTTCAAATATATATATATATATATATAAATTGTTAAGCATCAGCAATCATAAACCTATAATCACCTAACTAAAGGTCCTTTTCATCAGGACACACCTCATCCTGTTTTCCTTGACTATTAATGATACTAATCGTATTATTTTAATGAGAAAAAAGAGGAAAGTCCAGGCTAAGTGAATATACATTTATGTACCAGAACTTTTTTTTTTTTCTTCTTTTTTCCAACCCTCAATAATTATCTCACAACCACTATATTTATCTTGAGACCCTTTGGAGAGGGCCCAACCCCAATGTTAGGACCACTAGACTAAACTACTGAACTGTATAAAGGATTTAAACTAATATATACTGTATAATACATCCTTCTGCAGAGTTAAGCTGCTAGTGGCTCAGCTGCTTGTCAAATGTTTAAATATCTTCAGAAACCCCCTCAGCCCATTCCTTCTTGACCTTGGATTAGCACTTTTATTTATAAAGTAGTAGTAGGAGTATTTTTACATTAGTGTGCTGGCACTTTTACTTAAAGCCCCTACAGGAACTGGCATTTTGTTCTGATTCTGGCAGCCCCTGTGGACAAAAGCCATCTCATTTAATTGATTTTAAGGGAAACCGACCAAATCCAACACGGTGACAGGCATTAAGAATAACTACGAAAATATCCAGTTTTCTCAGTGATGGTCTTGTTTGTTTATGTAGGTCATACAGAGGCTTCAGTATTACATTGTTTCATAAGCACGTTTAAGTAAAAGATAAAGGAGAATAAAAGATTGGCTGCCATTTGCAGAGTGGCATTATATTGTTAGAAAATCCTGTTTTGTCTGTTATTGATGTTTATTTTAAGTGTTTGTTCATTTTTCCAGACAACCATCCAGCTGGTTTTATAATACCTCATTATAAGAGTTCATTTTCTGATAAATCTTGCATTTCAATAAGGTAACATTCATGAGTACACATGTAGAACGCATGTTTTAGTGATGTAGAAATAATTTTGAAAGACCTTCAAAAAGAACAGATTTCTGTGTGTATTCACTCTTCTTTCTTCTTAAAATGTGTAATTAAGACAACAAGGCATCTTATGGCATCATAAATCAGCAACATTTATTTCCACTTTTTATACATTAAACGTGCATATCAATAAAACTAAAATTGATCATATAAATACCTCTACTGTAATACTGGTACAATAAATATGGCTCTACAGATTCTAGGTTAAATAAAAAACAAACTTCAATATCAACTGCTGTGCGACACAAGGAGATACTCTCAGGAAATGCTGTACATGTCTTCTCTTTTAGCACATTTTTCATCCCTAAATGACAGACCTGTTTGGTGATTGTGCTATGATTAGGACCTCTTCCTACAGTTATCTTTGCTCTCTGCTGTGCTTTTTCTAAAAGTGATGCTGTTGAAAAAATATTCACAGTGTCAGCGTGACAGATAAGAAAACTGGTATCCTTCTTGTATCCATACTCAGACTGCACCTTTTTTTGTCATGAACACCAGTAACATTTGTGGAGTCAATGACGAGATAGTGCCATGCCTTTCACCAATTTGTGCTTAAGAGCTTAAGTGTCACGCACACTCAGATACACACATACACACACAGGCACACACAAAATCACATGAAAAAATCATAAATGTGCTCAAAGAATTTATATATCTTACTACAATTTAAAGCGGGGGCACTCTGCTCCAGGTCAATTATGTTGTAAAAAAAAAAAAAAAAAAAAGGAGGCATTTTTAACCCTGCCTATGTTGAACATGATACTGATTGAGAAAGCGACGTGGGAAAGGGGACCAGGCAGTGAAAAGATTATGATACAGTTGTGATTCACATGTACAGGAACACATCAACACGTCAACAGCCATGTCAAAATATTACATACAGTACTTTAAAATAGATTACCAAGAAACTCTTAATCTGATAACGTGCAAAAATAAACACAGCAACTCTTTCACAAAACTCCCACGCACAATGTTCATCTTTTACATGATATATAATGAATAATTAATGTATAGATTGAGTAATAAATATCAACACACAGATATGTTTTACATCTCACTTCAGTCTCAGTAAGTTCTTTCCTTTTATGTAAATGTAAAGTATAATGTCGTCCCATGCACCATCTATAATTTTCACCTTTTCAACACCTTACAAAAATACAAGGAATCTTTTGACTGCTTGCTTTAATCTTGTGCTTTCTTAACACTGAATTACTCAAATAATTGTCCACACACAGAGAGAGGACAAGATGCCAGAAGTTTTACATGTCAAGTGACAGAAGGTTTGATGCTGATAGCAATGATTAGATAAATGTCCAGTGGAAAATAATATTTCAAAAAAAGAACAAAAGTTGAGAACAGGTTAAATTTCAGTGGCTAAAGCTATACTTCACAGCATAGTGAGTGGTAGCAAAGTTCCAAAGTCCAAAGATTCAAAGTCAATCAGATATTGTGCGGTATCAATAATAACTAATGATACAAATAGTTATAAACCTTTGTGAAAATAGACAAAAACAGAGAGAAAACACATTCAGTAGACTGTAAAAACAGAGGAGGAACCGTGTCTGTGCATTTCCCTCAGTCTCAGAAGCCAGGCACGTGGCAGTACGCCTCCAGGGAGGACAACAGGATGTAGATGAACCAGAGGGAGAGGAACATAAAGAAGGTGATGAGCTTGGGTGTCCTTGGGCCCCCGAGCTCTCCGTTAGACACGCTGGGACGCCGGCGGTAGAGCAGCACCATCACACACACCAGCGCCATGATGGTGAAGAGGGTGACGGAAAAGGCCAAGGAGCCCGGGTCCACCTTGAACACCTTGCCTTTGGTTTTCCAGTAAACGGACGCGAGGGTCCATGCCACCCCGATGCCCAGGAACACATTCACTGCGTTGCTGCCCGTTACGTTGCCGATGGAGGCGTCAGCATATTGGTCCTGGATGGCGGCCACTTTACTCGCAAATGTATCTGTATGAGAAGAAGAGATATTAATTAAGCGAAAATAAATAAATAGGAAACAACAGAATTTGTGCAAATCACCTACTGTTGGAAATCAGTGGTGTGCACAGGGGAAAAATTCACTTAAGACCCTCCGTTAAACCCTACAACTACCAGGGACTATTTCATTGCAATATAAATAAATGCAATGGTTATTAAGAATAATAATAATTTATCAGTGCTTTATAGATCAGACCATTTATAGACCATAAATAAGAACATGTTTTAGGTTTCCAGGTTGTAAAAAATCCCTTTGGCTGCTGTCTTTTGGTTTCTTTTCTATTTACCAGCTTAAATGTTGGTAATCATTAGTTAATGCTCATCAGTGTATCATTTTCTAAAAACACATCAAGTTTGCAGTTATACATGTTATTAGTGACATATTGAAAGTACATTCCAATCAAGAAATAAATAGTCCAACAAATGTTAATAAAATGGCTGATTGTAATTGTGACACACTGGCTTTTGTTCAGATTACAGTTGTTGGAAGGCATATTTTATTATTTTAGGACAGAGTCAGGCTACCTGTTTCCCTGCTAAACTGAGCTGAACAGTCTCCTGACTGTAGCTATATATTTACCTTTGGAAATTTCATCCTGAGTTATTAGAAAGTGGGCTAACACTTTATTTGGACAGCCCGCCTACAGATAGTTTATGAAGTATTTTCCTGTAGATGTTGTACGGATTTATCTATAGACTATATGTGTATACCCTGACCAAGATGTGCCTAAACCTAACCAAACCTTAACCACAGTGGACGAAGATTGTTGTATCTATAGGTGGACTATCCAAATAAAGTCTTACAGAAAGTGGTACTGCAATGTTCCTTATAGCCATGTACAACAACAACAACAACAACAACAACTTTTACACTTTAAACTGTGACAAAAATATTCTATATACATATTCTTCAAAGCCTGTCCTGGCACTACACAGACTCTTTCTAAAGCACAGATATGCATTCGTAGATGAAAGTAAATCACAACAAATGTAGAAAGTAGATGATGTCTCTGAAACTCTCTACCCACCAAAATGAACTTATAACCCGGCAAACACATTACCTGTGAATGCTGTAACTTCTTAATGATTACCCTCTAACTAATTCATGTAGGGATATTTCCAGCACAACTGGTATGCCAACTTGAAAGAGAGTGTGCGTCGGACTTACTGAGCTAAAACCTGTCAAAACCTAATTTTCATATTCTCATTTGTGCCTCACTGTGGCAGTGTTTAGGACATAGTGAAATGGGAATACAATTAGGCAGCAAAGAGAGACTAACAAGTGAAACACTGTTTTTCTTAGTTTACAGCTTGTTAATGTTCAAGGCAAGAGCCCTGGAGAGAGTTACTCTGACAGCACAGGCAGAGGCAGAGGTTACACAAGTCTCCCCAAGCAGCTGCTTGTACCGCACAGGCAAACCCCTGTGGAAACCCAGGATAAGTCCGCTGTTACAGCTGACAGACACCACAGATGCCCACCTGGAACAGAGGTGCCGAGGGCCACGAACACCACAGCGGTGACAGAGTCTTTGAGACCAACGGTGCAGCCGAAATGGGAGGCCAAGTCCCCGGTCACAGCTGTCAGAACACCAATGAGGGAAATGGACACAAAGAAGCAGGCCCAGCCGTTCCAGTACTCAGTGGG